GGGGGCCTTACTGCTACATGCCCGTTTTCTGTCTATACTCCCCACCGAGACAGAAAACTGAGCATGTATAAAAAGGCCAAAGTTTTCCTCACACAACCTCTGCTTGGATCCGGAGCGGAAATTTTGGAGCGGACTGAAGCTTAAAAAAACAAGGTTAGCACCCAGGCTGCTACTTGAACCAACTTCATTTCTGACTCACAAGAATATATCCCCGCCATCAACCTAATCTCGTCAGGAGCGACATAGATTAGGCTGTTATCCCCAAGCAGATGTAAAAGGATCCGGCTCATTCTCTGTGCTTTCGCCTGTTTGCATTGTGTAACATAATTGGTTTAATTGGGCTTTGGGGAACTATCCAAAGCCAGACTAGGGAGATAAGGGCCGCCTGGACACAGATTTTGGCACTTGGACGAAAAATCTGCGCGCACTTGGAACCAGACTCCGCGGGCTTCAGCGCACAATACTATACCGGCCTATGTATACCACTTATAAAGAAAGGTTATGTTTAGAAAGGTCAAAATTTTCCCCATTTGTTAAACCTCTGCTTCTAGAGTCCTGTCTGACAGGGTATAGAAAAACAGGTTATGTTTAGAAAGGTCACAATTTTCCCCAATTGTTAAACCTCTGCTTCTAGAGTTCTGTCTGATAGGGTAGAAAAACAGGTCATGTTTAGAAAGGTCACAATTTTCCCCGTTTGTTAAACCTCTGCTTCTAGAGTTCTGTCTGACAGGGTAGAAAAACAGGTTATGTCACAATTTTCCCCAATTGTTAAACCTCTGCTTCTAGAGTCCTGTCTGACACTGTGACAGGGAAGAAAAACAGGTTATGTTTAGAAAGGTCACAATTTTCCCCAATTGTTAAACCTCTGCTTCTAGAGTCCTGTCATACATAATAGGCTGTCATCCCCAAGCAGATGTAAGGATCCGGCTCATTCTCTGTGCTTTCGCCTGTTTACATTGTGTAACAACATAATTGGTTTAATTTTCTGTAGTGCTAAAAATATTTTAGGGAAAAGGCGAAACGTTAAAATGCTGCCGGTACATGGAAGGAAAATGCAGATAAATCTTTCGGATACGGGGCAGCTGACATCGAAAAATAAGCCGGCGCCTCATAGATCACATCTGCTTGAAATAGTTGTAATGGGTAAGCTCGTTATTCCAGAAATCATCGGGGTGGGCTAGACGAACATCAAACCCAGCCCACGGTGCGGAATAGGCAGTAGCATAAATCTCAAAGACCCGTGGGAACATAACTGTACTGGCATGAGGAATATTCAGTTATTGCCCGACCAACTAAAATATACAGTGTTACATGTAGAAGCGCCCCCCCCCCCAAAAAAAAAACGTGTTGGCTTAAATGGTAGGTCCCCGAGGTAGGGGTCGGACAGCGTGCAAGAGCCACGTGGAGTGGACAGTGAGAGACCTGGTCTTTGGGGAACTTGCCTAACCTGCAAGCAGATGTTAAACTGTACATTGGGCAAATGGATACTGCTTGGCCAATTTGATAATGTCTTTTGCGGCCACCTAAATCTGCAAGGAGATTAGAACTAGGTAAAGCCAGGCTGTTTGCGGAGGGCAGGCCTGGGCACAGTACCTTTCCCCGCATAAACGGCGGCCTAACTCCCCTGGCCTGGTGGATGCTGGCCAGTAACGCAAATCCCGGTACCTGCGGCGGCTCGAAATGAAGTGGATCATTGGGAACGGACTACCAAAAAAACAATACCTAGAACTGCAAAGCTTACCCAATACTAGCCTGGGTGCCATACCCATAGCACACAAAGTATGTCACCCATAGGTCAAGTGTGCTATGGGTCTGGCGCCTAGGCTAACCTGACCCAATACACGTTTTGTGTGGTTTTTAAATCATAATTGACTGGCTCTTCGGGTATCGAAATTTAAGTAGAGAGCCACAATGAAACATTTTCCAGGTTTGTGTTTGTTTATGTTTCTATCACCGTCTGTTTACAAAAATAAACGGAGCCAGGTTATAGGTCTGGGATATTTATTATTTTAAACGGGCAAAACATGGGGCGAGTCTAGGGATGAGTGGTAATCCCTAAGCAGAGATTGTGTTATTTTGTCCCGTTTTTCTGACAGGGATTTTTTTTTGGATTATTATGAACATCAATAGACTTTAAAGTTTGACGTCTAACTGATACACAGGCAAATAAGAGAAAGCTGACACCCAGGCAGTCACCATTGCTATAATTTAACATTTTGTCAACGCTACGGACTAAGTTAGAGCAAGGACAATTGTATAGAGCTTTCCAATGCCCTATGGTTAGAGAGATAGAGAAAATCTGGTATCGCATTCATGCACACATGCATGCGTCGCAACAAGCCCGGCCCTGGACTCACTAGGTGCAGCCATGCATAACCGCAATCTTATCAGGGGCAGATGTATCTATAAACAGGCCGAAATTGTTTTTCAAGCTACTCGGTCTGTCATTTATCCTGGGTCCCTGTGTTTTAGCGCCGTGGTTTTAGACCACTTTGTTTGCAGATTATGGAGAGCAAAGAAAGAAACAGGCTGGTACCCAGGCTACTACACTCTGGGCTCTAGACCCAACATTCCTGCAAGAAAAAAATTCCCGTTCTCATCGAGGTCAGGTCCACTCGGAGAAGGGGACTGAGATCTCCGAGTGGACCTGACCTCGATGAGAACGGGAAATTTTTCTAGCAGTTCTGGGGAGCACATAAAGACACAATTACCTAACAGAGACACGCAGAAAAAAATGCCGTGCTTTGCGCCAAGTGTGTAACACACAGATACACGAAGTTCACACAAAGTTATCTACGCAACTCTCGCCCATTTTAAACCTTCTTCTCAACATCAAGATGCCCTTGATACATTTTGTATGAAGGCAAAATAGCATCGATGATAACATGAATGAGCCAAACTAAAATTAACAATCTTACTTACCATCATATGTCCAGGGGAATTGTGTTCCGTAACATCCAGGATTGTACCCATGTCTTTTCCCTTCTCATCTGCCAGCAAGATCTTGTCGGCTTCCTTACGAAAGAACCATTTGGCCATCTTCATATGACTAATGGGGGCCCGGACTTCAGACATGGCTCACGACACGCTGATCACGTCAAAATAGAAAATAAAGAACAACGAAAATAGCAGGACCTTGGGAAATTTATATGACCAGAGGAAGCGAGGAAAGCGGTACAATGTGCTTCAGATCAGGCCTCAAAAGAAGCTCCTCCTCTTCAACCAATACATCAACCTGTCAGCCGGCCTACAGCTAGCCACATCCCTACAGACCACCGCGGATCAGGGCCTGACCGCGGATCTCGTACACACGTGTTTCTGATATGGACAGGCCGTGTTTTCCCAGATAAAAGCTCGAGAGATGATGTTTGAACTATTTTATCCGCTCCTATGTATGGCGACTTTATTAGTCATACATTTGTTTTCTATCTTGTGTCGTGAGGTTAGTACCACCCATACTCCAGGAACGATTTCGTACAACATTGTGCCACCGAATGGACCACAGTTTGAGATAGGCCTAGGTATACAAGACGCGTCCGTCAGTAAACTCGCCGGGGAAGTGTCCTCTTTGACTGGGATACCAGAGTCAGCGTTTCTGCTTTACAAGAATGGCACGAAGGTAGGTTTTTTTTTATATGCTTCTGTTTATATATTCGTTTAAACGTGTGGAGTGATGCAGGTTGAAAAATCATTATGTGACATTTTTACATTTCCGCCTCAGCTTAACGACGGCCTGACGGGCGGACACTGGGCCAAATTATGCAAGTGAGTCGTGTCAACAAAAATATGACACGGTGAATATGAACACTTTTTCTTCCCCCTTACCAACCACTATGTCTTGTGTCCTTAGATCAACGATGAGACTGCCATTGAGAATGGAGGGATAATCCATGTCCAAATTCCCATTTTGGGTGGTATGCCGCCGAAACGTAGGAAAGGGGTGAGTAGAAAAAATTATGATCTTGATCCATAGTGTTTGCAACCAGTCACGTTTGTAGATGTGATGTGTGCAGTACTGCAGTATGATCAGTTTGTCGTGTCAGTTTTTAAAAGTTTCTTTTACTGAGCTGATGGCAGCTAACGCTTGTAGCGAATGATCGATGATTACGTAATCATACCAGTACCATTGAACTAGGTAGGTAGGCCACTGGTAAGCAAATCATACCAGTGTTCATTTTGAAGCAGATGACCAGGCTTATTTTTCGCTCCTGCTCTTTTATATAATTTTTTTACCGTTAGACTGGGAGACGGTGAACTGTGTTACAAAAAGAGACGGTAGCATTAGAACTAATCAACTTACATCTGCTTGGAGAATCATGTTTACAGGGCCATGATGCCCGCACATATGGTTTCCCGATTATCCGGCCGGAGCGGTCTGCCCTGGCTCCGACCACTGGCGCCTGTCCCTCTCGCTCTCTTGGGAAGAACTCGAGCAAAGAGCTGTTGTAGATAACGATCTGTGGAATGTCTATAGGATAGGAACCCATTCCCACCGCTCTCGGTAGAGAAATTAACACGGTTGTACTGGGGCGCCTTGTATGAGGGCCTGCAAGGGGGGGGGGGGGTCCCGACAACGCTCTACGCTGAATTCGGAAACCTCTCGATTACGCTTTACGATAAATACCAAGTGGCTACAACGCATTTCATTAAAACGCCGAATACGCTCTACGTAAAAATATTAGAGGGCTCCGTCTACGCTCTACGTAGAATTAAAACGGCCGATTACGCTCTACGGAAAAGGGCTTTAATACGGGCCCCCTTGTATGAGTTTCGTTTTTCCAGCGTGTTCGGAAAAGGGTGAGCAAAATTACGATGATATAGTGTAAACTTATGACTTTTTGCAATCATGTAAAAAAAGAGAATTTATGGGTGACACAACTTTAACGACTTGCAGATACAGTACGAATGTCATTGCGGTATTAAACCTCGGCAAACTACACATGCATGCTAAAATGCCCATCAAAATGTGAGCGAAGTGTACAGATACAGTTAAATTGTAATGCTTCTTATACGTCTATAAAATCCTAATCCCCGGCAGGCTGGTTCTTTCTTACAAGACTCGCCAACAGGCAGCAGGGGAAGGCACATTAAAGTTAGCTTGTCTACCAGGCTTCGGGTAAGGAACAGCGGGTCGTGCCCGATCATAGCCTGGGTGCCAGACGCTAGCGTTCATAAAGCGATAGATTTTTTTTTTGTGTCCGCCACTGTATCCGCCGCCCAACCCCAGGCTGCCCCAAACCCAACCGGACGCGAGGAGATTATAAATTAGAGCCAGTGTGCAAATCAGGGTCGGCGGGGCGTGTTGCTTTCCCGGGCCGAGGAATTATCGCTGACTCGCGGTAGGGGATGGCACTCAGGCTAGCCCGATCAGGGTGTTCTATGGCTTCCAGACAGGGTAGGCTTCGGGAGGCGGCTTAAAATCATAGAAATTGGTCAATTTAGACAGCTAGCATGCCAGGCGAATTGTAGGAGAGTTGGTACGTTTATACTTATAGAACAGTTTGTCGCAACTCGAAGCCCGCCGGAGGTCTCCTGTTGTATAGAGAAGGGGTCAGCCTGAACAGGAAGGAACAAAAACTACTCTCTACGAAATGGGACAATGCTACTCTCAAAGCGGATATTCATTTGGAACTTTGTGACCTTTTTTCTATGCCACATTTTTTTTAAATCTAAATATTGTCTTGAGTATTGTTTGGTGTACTAGATACATTACTTGGCTACCCTGCTTGGCTACCGAAAGATATGCTTGGATCAATGGAGATAGATATCACTAAGCGGTATTATGTATAAAGCGATTTATAAGCAACCTTTTAATTGCGGAGGGACCAAGGGGATCCATCCGACATGAGGCTATTAAACATTTTGTGAAATCTAGGGTAAATGTAATGATCTATTCCGGCGGGGATATTAGCCTGTGGGCCGGCCCTGATTGGTCCCGCAGTTGTTTTTCAAAGTAGAGAAAATATTATCTTTTCCTAAATAACATATATGTTGGTGGATATCGTTTGTTTATGTGTGTCTGCTTGTCTGCTTTGGACTAGCCCTTGATAATATGACCACAGGTGTCCAATCCGCCTTACGTAGGAGCAATTACTTGGTACTAAAGTACGCTAAAGAGAGCAGGGCGATTTGAAAATGTCAACAACACATATCGCTCAAAATTATGTTCTGCGCATGCATCATATCTGGATTTTAAACCTGGATACTGTCTGACCACTTCTGTCCTTGTGGCCCCTAAGATCTGCTTGGAGATTGAATAAGCCGCACCCACGCTCCGGTCAGAATTGACCAGCTTCGGCCGCGCCGGCCTGCTATTAATTAGTGTCGTCTTCCCCCTGTGTATGGGGGACCGTTCGTTATCAATGCTAAGCGTAGAAGGTCTTTAGCTAATAAGAGATTCCTCTGGTTGGGGGATATTAATTCTCGAAATGTCTCGTGACAATATTGTCTTACGCCTTGGTCATAACCCGTACGCGCAACCGCGTGTTGTCTACGTGCAAAATCGTAGGTAAATTTTGGGGATACATAAGGCTACTCTCCAAGCAGAGGTTGTGGGGGAATGATCTTTACCTTTTTATATTATATGGAACGTTTTTTGTCGCTACCCCCGTCGGGGGCCGCGGACCTTCTCTGGCTAATGGATACTACCTGGCCAATTTGAATTTTGATACTGTCTTTTTGCCCCCGATAGGGATCTGCTTGGAGATTAATACAAGGCCTCAGCATGTAATTTTTATGGATGACGCGCGCATTAATTTTCACCTGAATTTGGAAAAAAAAAAGCAAATTTTGTTGTCCTGGCATCCGTAATCCTACAGAACCCTGCGGATTTGGGAGCACGCATACACTCCGTAGCAAAACCTTCTCTGCGTTCGGGCTGCGGATTCATCCCCGTACGAGCCCAGTACGGGCGATGCGCGTGCCCTGTACAACCAATGGGCGCACCACGCACTGACTCCGTGAGCCTACGATCAATTGCTCTACGGGCGGCGCACCGTTATCAGAAAAACGTGGCGGACATAGCCTTTCAAAAACGTACGGACAAAAAGCACGTGCGGTGGATAGCATGCCGGGGGAGTTGGTCCGCTGAGAGAACGGTTTGCTTCACCGCTCTAGCCTGGATGCCAAACTTGGCCCAAAGTTGTCTAGTGTGCACACTGGAACATTTTTGGCGCAAAATAATGTGGATCTGGAATCCAGACTACACGGCCGCCACCTCCCCCCGGCAAATCGTCTGTCTATTATATACTCCTAGCAGCCGCCTCCCGAAACCTGGTAGAGACTAGTGTCCATCCAGTCTAAATTTGTCACAACTGAATGGTAGCTTTCCACACCGGAAGTTCAGTTTACAGAGGTTTTCATGTCTTCATCTTTTGGTAAAAATTATCCAGAACTTCGACAAAAGAAATTTACAGTAGTACGTTTTTGTACATCGTGTGTGAATTTCATGGAAGTTGGTCGATAATAGTATTAATACCCTGGGGCAAGCCTCGTTGGGCGTCGCGGAGACTTAGGCCACAGCAAGTAAATTTTATGGATGGCAGACTCAAAATGTAATGCGAGTGGGCGAAAAAAAACAAGACGGGCCGAAGAAGCAAGGTTCCTACATTTTAACTCAAGCATACATGTACAGAACACCATCACGGGAAGTCCTCTCTCGTCTGGGATGGAAGTCTGTGAGAACTCTACATCGCCAACATAAAGCCATGCTAGTGTATAGGGCTTTGGACAATTCTTTACCACCACATATGCGAGGGGTGTTCATCAGGTATAGAGATGAAGCCTCCAGATCCACCAGACAGAGCACATTGGACAACCTCATCATACCGAGGCCCCAACTGGAAGTGTACAGGCGGTCACTGAGGTACTCGGGGGGCGACTGTGTGGAACTCCTTGCCACCACATGTACGAGCAGCCCAGTCATTGGGAACATTTAGAAGTATGATAAGGAACTTGGACTGATAACGGACTGATGATTTACTATTTATTTTTGTACTATATTTTGATTTGCATTTTGTTTTGATTTTGTATTATATTTTGGTTTGATTTGTAATCCGTGACCCCGCCCTCACCCTCGACCTTGTTGAAAAGCGGTCATACATGTATGTATGTACCGAACAAGCTTTCGAGTTTAAATAAAGGCTTACTACTACTACTACTACTACAAATGGTTTTGACTCAGAGGGAACATTACATATACACAGCCAGCATCACATATCACTGCATCAAAAAAAGGAAGAAAGAAAACATCAAATCAGAGCCTTTTCTTGTCTTCTCTCTTCATAGTTCATATCTGCCATCCACCTGTCGACATGACAACAGACATCTTTGCCCATGTTCGGCATGCTGACCACTGTCAGAGGGCAACGATTTCTTTTCTAAAATCAGGCGGAAGTTAATGCGCGCGCCGATGTCATCCATAAAAAATTACTTGCTGTGGCCTTAGTAAACGCGCGAGGGGCCAGGCGAGGGGCCTTGTTTGGTTAGCCCGTCCCCGGCACACGCCCTCCCCGCGGAAACCATCTAGGCCGCGCCCTGATAGTGATTACGCAAACCCCCTAGGTCCGCCGCCCAACAATACAGCGTTGAGAATAGACATGACTCTCTCAGTTCGGTGTCCCTGGACACTTTGGGTGGCAATAAGGACGCCTATGTGGAGTTAATCCGAAACAATTCACACTTCCTTCGAAACCGCTGTTTAATTAGGTGATGATCAGCTGTTAATGGCAGCTAATGAGATCCGGGCCTGCGGGTCGGGTGTAAGCATTAAATCTCGCTTCGCGTGTCTGGTTTCAAGAGTACAGTTGCATACGACGGTTTTGCCACCGTAAATTATAATGCCTGCGGGCCGTAAATCATAATACGAACCTACAGCTGGTCCCTGGCTGGATTCAGGAATAAGTCATAAAAGCCGAAAGATGCAACAATATCGGCACATAGTTATGTGCTTGTTGAACCGGGTCGGATCCGAGCTGCACATTGCGTTTTTATTTTACTAGTTCATTAGTTGTTTAGTTGATACGTTTTTGCCTGAGGGCTTCACTGCTAGCCTCCTTCGCAGTCTTGTTGGACGTCGGATTCGCGCTCCAATCCTTTTCTCCGCAGCAAAAACTCCCTCGGCAGTAAATCGTCCCTCGCGGCGGCATATTACTCGCGTCGCTCACAGAAAAAAAAATAACGCCGACGCACAAGAAGACTGCGAAGGAGGCTGTTCACTGCAAGCTCCGAGGAGAAATACGTTTTCCGTGTAGTTAAAACCAAAGTTGACTGTTCTCGTATCCATTTTAACAGGGTGCCGAGTATGACCAGGTTTGCCAAGAAGACACGGAACAATGCAACTGCCAGGGTGCATGTAACTGCACCATCATTGTCTCAGGCCAGAGGCCCTACCAATCCAGTCCAAGCTCGTACCAACCCAGTCCAAGCACCTACCAACCCAGTCCAAGCACCTACCAACCCAGTCCAAGCTCCTTCCAACCCAGTCCAAGCTCGTACCAACCCAGTCCAAGCTCGTACCAACCCAGCCCGAGCTCCTACCAACACAGCCCGAGCTCCTACCAACACAGCCCGAGCTCCTTCCAACACAGCCCGAGCTCCTACCAACCCAGTCCAAGCTCGTACCAACCCAGCCCGAGCTCGTACCAACCCAGTCCAAGCTCCTACCAACCCAGCCCGAGCTCCTTCCAACCCAGTCCAAGCTCGTACCAACCCAGCCCAAGCTCCCTCCAACCCAGTCCAAGCTCGTACCAACCCAGCCCAGGGCCGGCAAACTTCTCAAGTCCTTCACAGTACCGGTCAAGTCCTGGCGCAGCCGGTCTTGACATCACCCTGTACCAGCCAAGCCCAAGCGCTAGCGCTGGTTTCCATGGCAGCGAAGGTGACCCAATGGTACAGGATGTCTTCGAATTCAGAGAAGGAGACAACCCACAAACATTGGCGTACAATGCTCGTGAGAAGAACCGTGACTACAGCTCAAACAGCGACAGTGACCTTGGAGTTCACCGTTTGGAGTCTTCAGACGACGATCCGTCCGGTTTGTCGGACACGAATTACGAACCATTCGATAGTTCATTCTACATCGATCCCCAGAGAACCCCAACTGAAAGACCAACTAAAAAAAGAACGGGGGGGCCTGTCGGACCAGGTCGGAAACTCTTCAGCAAGGCAGTGAAAAAGGAGACACTACATAGAGTGCTTTCTAAGAGTCCTTGCTGTCGTTCTAAATGCTCAACACGTTTCACCTATCGGGAGTTAAAGAAAAAACGAGAAACTTATTTCGGCAGCGGAGACGCGTCTGCTCGTTCGTCTTGGCTTGTTGAAAAGTTGTCGACTTTCCAGAACTCGGAGACCAACAGCACGGCATATGCTTTCAAGGTCGATGGAAAGACCGTATGTAGGAAGGCTTGGTGTAGACTTTACGGAATAACAAAAAATGTCTACTACAGGGGAAGATCTGCCTTCATGAAAGGTCGCACGTCAGCTTCGGAAAGGTTACGACCCCGGCGGGAGAAGTCAACGGCGTATGTGAAGGCTGGCGTTTGGTTCGGCATGTATGCTGCGGCTCACGCAGAAAAGATGCCCCACAGGAGCGAGAAGTGGCTGCCATACCGGACGCGCAAACAAGGTGTGTACCACCAGTACCGGCAAGAGATGGCCGAGGAGATGGAGCCATACTGCTCGAAGCAGACGTTCTATAATATGTGGAAAGAAATGTACCCGGACGTGATCATTAAGAAGGTATGTGACGCTTCTGACACAATTCATTGTAATTCAATATCATATAGCCAGTAGCCGTCCGTCGACCAATCAGAAGGCTCCATTTCCCATGGGTTATCAGAATAACCGCCCACTTTTTGGACTGTACCATCATACGAGGGACAGGACACCAACAGTAGTGTTAAGACTTGTAGTATAATATTTATCTATTAAAAACGTATCTTTTAAAATTCGTTTTGAATATATATATATATTTTAAATACAGCGATTTTATTCAGTGGTTATCGCACCCGGCCAGGGATTATCTGACCATATACACCTCAGGTCGGGGCATTAAACCTTTATTAATGATATTTTTACTGATATTATTACAGTATCAGTAGTTCTATATGTACTAATTGTCTGTTCTCATACCATGTTTGTTCTGTTCCTGCAATTAGCCCTCGGGCAAGAATTTGCAATAAACAAACCTATTAATGGTTTGGGAATCCCTAGGTACCTATCCAGCAATGTGTGAAATTGACCATGCAATATATTACATTTCTCATTACAGTCCAGCCTATTTACCAAGTGCAAAAAATGCGTACAACTCGAGAGAAAGCTGGAGAGAACACGGGACCCCATGAAGCGACAGGAAATTCAAGACCGGCGCCGTGCCCATCTTGGCCGACAAATGTAAGCACCTACATCATGTTGTATTTGGTAAAGACAATTTCCATGCGACAAATCAGATGCACATGTACGACTGAATTACTGGCTGCAGAATCAATGTAGGTCGCAGAACATCAATACGCTATTAAAAGGTATGCAGAAATACACCGTATGCAAATATTTGCGATGGGCGCAGTCTCACTAAGCGCGTATTTTTGCAAGGACTTCTGATTTACTAACCATATAACAGTGAAAAAAGCTAATAGCTATAGCGGAGCTGTACAAAGTGCCAAATATGCGCTATCGTATCCGCCGCCAAATGGGTATTGTTTTCTGCCTGGTTCACGAAACTCTTCCCAATGCAATCCTAATTAATTTTGTAGGCGTGAGCGAATCAACTATTACCGGAGAAGAGAGGCAGCCCATCGAAACCCAAAGCGCTACCTAAGCCTGATTATCGACGGTAAGTTAAGAATTTAAAAAAAAAAAACTTTACACTTGACTGCTAGTACAAAATAACTAAACTGAAATATTTATAAAATTTGCCATTCTGCAATTTTAACATTTTTTTCAGACCTTGTTAGTAATGTTACCTCTATTACGTTTGTATCTAAAATACTACTCATAAATGCCCAAATGAGATGCATATGCATTATGATAAGTTTCTTCTTGCGCATTCTTGTTACAGGAATGGATCAAGCAAAGACCTACCTTCCGCATTTCGTTGGTGCAAAGTCAAAGGTAAGTTTCATAATGATATATGCTAAAATTAATGAGTCAATGATTACTTAAGAAAATCTACTGCATTTTTTTCCTAAAGCTGCTGTCGACATGTCATACATTCACGAATTTGGCCTCCTGTACGCTTACCGAATGCCGCCGACCGTGGTTAGGAGTGGGTCGGCTGGCGTCCGACTGGTTGGCTGAACCAGTTCGGCCAGTGTTCGGCTGGTGTTCCGGAGTAGGTCAGCAGTATTTGGCACATGTTCAGGGGTCAAATTTGGAGACGAATGTGCGCCAACCTACATAGGAATTACTCTTAACCCCCTTCTACCAACCGTGCCGAATGGTTCCAAAGCGTGCGCCGATCACCCCAAACTAATGTCAAACACTATCCGACCATCAAATGAACTCCCCTCATTAGGGAACGCTCCCCAACTTCAGCATACCAGGACCTTACTCAGCCCGTTGAATTAAGACTGTTAATAATTCCTGGCATTACAATAATCACATGGCAAAAAGAGGTGAAGTCAGGCCCAAGAAAAAGGCAAAGTCCAAGAACGTTGTAAAATGCCACAAAGTTCACCTTTCACTATATGACATGATTGTACGTAGTGGGCCCCTGATTCTGCAAATTTTCATTCGGGACAGAGTTGGAGAATGGTTAGGACGGATTCCGTAGTCTTCAGCTAGTAGTTGGTATGGTTGGAAGTAGGTTGTCCAGCATTTAGGGCTAGTTCGGTAAATGGTTATGAAATGGTTAGGTCATGGTCGGCACAAAACATAAGCGTGGCCTCAATAAGGTCAGACACCTGCCGTCCAACACCTGCCGTCATTGAAGACAGATTCTATGTATTTACACGTTCATTGTTCCGGGGAAATTCCCCTATCTATTTTATTTTCGACAAGCACAATGAACAGTGGACCACGGCTTAACGCCCCGTCCTAAGTACTGCGACCCTTTCCAGTAGTGTGCACGGTCGCTAACCATTGAACTACACGCTACTAAATGTGTGGCAGGGGCTTAATCTTGTGAATTGTCGGCATCCAGTTTAAAATATTCTTTATTCCAGGACATGGCATCAACGGACCTCATGAAGGTCCACGTTTCGGGGATTATCAGTCATGGGCATGGCATAAAGGCCACGTTTACTGATGTGTTCGAGTACAACCACGACAGTAATCTAACCATCAACTTGCTGTTGAAGATGCTGTACCGTCTGTCCAAGGTATACTCTATACGACATTACTGATTTGTAGATTTTACAGATTTGTATTGCAGAAATGTATGTCATTTTGCCGCGTCGATTGTCTGCACGTGTTAGGAAACAACAATTCAACTTTATTGTTGTTTCATTTTTTTTTGCGCTTCAGCAAGGACCCCTGCCTCCTATACTCTACGTTCAAGCGGACAACTGCTTTAGGTGAGTATTACTTCTATGAGGACCGATTTTCCATTGAAACGTGACTATCTGCAGGACTGATATCCTTATATGCATGCACACCGCAATATATCTCACAGACTCACTATATATACATTTTTACATGTATATGTATACAAGACGGCCTAATAGATAAAACTTTCAAAGCAAATTACGTAGCGCTGTGCAGAGTCAACTGATACGTGTATATATTTTTGCAATTAGTCTACACCGAGTAATTTTTATGGGTGACGTCCGCGCGATCTTTGATTTTGGTCGGTTTCCAGAAAAAATGTCCTTATACTATGTTGTTGCAGACCAAAATCAAATCGTCTCAGATTCATTGTAGTTTCCATCAAGAATAAAACAAAACTTACTGATTCTTACACTTTGTACAATATTTTATCATAACATTTGTGGTCCCTTGATACCACCAAGGTAGCGTGTTTTTTTTTCGGTCGGTCTTGTTTTTTTAACTCTCCCATTAGATTTAGCGCGTCTCCAAAGGACGTCATCCATAAAATTTACTTTATTTACTAAGGTGTGGCCTTAAAGAAATTTACTTTGCCTTTTAGCGGGATGTGATGATATAGGATATGGAACCATTGGTGTTGGTGGTTCTGTTTATCATAACGTGCACTTTTCGTCTTCTATTGTACTGTCAACTTTCAGTACTTACAACCATCGACTTAGTTTCAATTCTTTATCTCTGATGCATGATAGGTTCGATACCTACTTAGATGTATCGATTTCTCTTCATTGGAATATTGATATATACTGTGTTTACAGGGAGAACAAGAACAAGTACATGCTTGCATTTCTTGATATGTTGGTCCATCGAAAGATATTTGTAGAGGTAAGTGGCATTGATTTAAATGGTTTATGTTAAGGCAAGGCAACCGTCAAGTCCTTTACCAAACAGCTTAGACCTGTACATGGGACATTTGTGTCGATAGAAACGGTAATTACTTCAAGAATAAATTATTGTTTTCAATCGCTTTAATGTTTGTGAAAATTCCCAAGACCTTGGCATGGTTCTATTTTATACACAGTCCCGGTCCTGTCCACCTACGGGGATTTCTAGTCTCTCGAGGGGGGGGGGGCAGAAACCTGGGCACATCCATTGGTTTACTCTTAGTTGTCAAATCCGTACTGGTGGCTGAGGGTTGAGACGGCCCTGTTCTGGATAGTGTCCGCGTATCCATATCCAAGGACGTACAATGTTGATTTGCCCCAAGCATGGTTCTGGGCTATCCAGGACCGTGCCGAAGTGATTTTAAAACTTAAGTAAACAATGGACATGGTGTATTAAGGGAAATCAATTTTATTTTTTATCTGTGTGTAGGTGCAGCTGTCTTTCTTGTATGTCGGCCATACTCACGAAGACATCGGTAAGACATCTATTTATCCGCTTTTTCAATATCTTAAAGGTGTACCAGTTCTTCTGTACCCGGGGTCCATGCTTGAGCGGTATGACAGTGACGAAGACATTTCATGGGTTTAGATTTGCTTTCACATTTCTGACATTCTGCTGCGAAATGAGTGGCATTTTTGGTGAAAATTGATCTGGATCCAGTCTTTACTTACGCGTTGAAATTAATCTGTTCAAACATTGTCAATCTAATTAAACTCATTAAAACGTATTGTAATGATTTCCAGTTAACCAATAACAATCAATGGGAGCGCAGATACTATACATACAATGGCGTTAGTGTGGGCAACGTGAATTCGTTCACGAGCTCATAAGTATCAAATACCATCTAGAATGTTTAAACGATTGCACAGAGAAGTAAAGAGACGCAAAAAGCTTAACCCTTGTCCTGCTTGCAATTTTTGCACAATATTTTCAAATAATTTGGAGTCTTATTCAGGTCATAGACGTTGCCTTTTTTTGCCCCGCGGTGGCGTAGTTACTTCTCAATTCGTTGCGTTTCGCTGTGGTGTGGTAACCCTAAATTAGACACATACAGGGCATTGTATAGATATGGTACTGTATGTGCGACCCGTACATATATGGGTCCAGCAGGACAATGGTTTTAAGTGTTACAAATTCACAACACTCTTTAATCGTTTGACGTTTCCAACCTTAAAATCAGCTAGTATAATTCTTTTTGTTTAAAGTTAAAACTTTTGGTCCAACACAAAAAAATCTCTCACCTAGAGCACTCGACCAGTCACTCTGGTCTTCCTCAGTAGACTGTCCCAGTGAAGCTTGTCACGTGGCTTCTTTGAAGTGTGACGTCAACACTGGGTCAAAGGTATCTGGTAGACGATGTCGGCCCCCGTCGCGGTTCAATGTAGGGTGATGGGCCCTGATGTAAATAACTTCCTTCACCCCTCTCAAGAAATAGTCTTGTTCAGTGTCTAAAATCCTTACAGTGTCAAGTGAAACAAAATGTCCGGGTGACTATGTGAATGTGGTGAGACACCTCTGAACTGGCAGAGCTAGGCCGTGTATGTTCTTGAATTTTAGAGACCTCTCTGTTTCCCCAATGTACGTTTCCTGGCAGGGCCCCTTGTTGTTTTTGCCCTGGCAGGGGATGCGGTACATGTAGATTACACCACACTTCTTCTCTTTGGGAAGACGTCTAAGTGAGGAAGACCAGAGTGACTGGTCGAAAGCTCTAGGTGAGAGAATTTTTTGTGTTGGACCAAAAGTTTTAACTTTAAACATTAACTACCAACACAGATGATTGTATTGTTTTTCTTGTGTGCATATTGGATACATTATTGTTTTTACACACAGACCAACTGTTTAGTCAAATAGCGGACCGACTAAGGCACGAGGAAGCGAGGACACTACAGCAGCTTCTGGAGAAACTCCCTGACGCGGCGCAGATGCGAGGCCTGTACGATGTTCGCGGATGGCTGGAGCCGTATATCGTCAGCATCAAAGGCCACTCAAAAGTCGGCTTGTTTCGGTTTCGGAACAGTAAGACCACAGAGGGGCTGGTAGAGATGTTCTACAGAAGAAGTCATCAACATAAGTGGAAATATAATAAGAACGGCATGTTCCGTACAGATCAACAGGGCAAACCCCTTAGACCGGGAGGAAGACCGAAATTGCTGTTACCCGTCTTTGAAAAGAGAGAAATCAACGTTGGCAACCTGTTGGACCAAAAGCTCCCCAAGTGGGCACCGTACCTGGAGTCTCCATTGGAAGACAACCAGTGGAAGGAATATCTACAACAACTGAAGACGGCATCCACAAGTCGACCTGCTGCCACACGCTATGCGATAGGTGACGGTACGGGATGGACGATGGACAGACTGGCGCCATGCGACCCAGCGGAGTTAGCCAACAGAGAGGGAGAGGAGGCAGCCATCCCCGAGGAGCTGGATCGTTTATTGGCAGAGGAGCTGGAAAGTGCCGAGGTAAGATATCCACTTAAAAGATTGATTGTGGATGGTGCTGAACATTGCGCGATGTTTTATTAATTCTACTGCAATCGATCTATCTATCTATCTATCTATATTTACATATTGAGCAAGAGGCTATTTGCTCTTTCCAACAGATTGTCGTCGGAAGAACCACGTTAGGGACGAGGAAACGAGGAGGAAAGAGAGGCCGCCCACGTGGAGCCCGGGCAGGAGGCCGTGGACGTGGACGAGGGCGCGGTCGCAGTTAGATTTGTTTAAATCTCCACTCTTTGACGTTTAGTACTCCCTGTTTTACATACATACATACATACATAATGTGTTAACTTTATTGTGTTTTTCTGTATTTCTTATCGTGTTTTGCGTTCTATTGGTTTAAACGATCAATCATTTTGAAGTCACTTTTCTTAGCAATGACTTTGTAATGCCGCATGCAAAAACATTGTACATGATGTATCCTTAAATAACATCTATTGCTGGAGGGATATTGACCTGTTTGGTTTTGTTTCCTCAAAATTATTATAGTATGTCAACTTCAATACATTTCATGATATACACTGCTATGTTGTGACAGTTCTTTATTTCTACTTTAAGCCGCCCTGTCGGCGACGAGGCTTTTAGCCGCGCTGTTGGGACGAGGCTTTTAGCAGCGCTGTTGGGACGAGGCTTTTAGCAGCGCTGATCGGACGAGGCTTTTAGCAGCGCTGTTGGGACGAGGTTTTTAGCAGCGCTGATCGGACGAGGCTTTTAGCAGCGCTGATCGGACGAGGCTTTTAGCAGCGCTGTTGGGACGAGGCTTTTAGCAGCGCTGTTGGGACGAGGCTTTTAGCAGCGCTGTTCGGACGAGGCTTTTAGCAGCGCTGTTGGGACGAGGCTTTTAGCAGCGCTGTTGGGACGAGGCTTTTAGCAGCGCTGATCGGACGAGGCTTTTAGCAGCGCTGTTGGGACGAGGCTTTTTAGCAGCGCTGTTGGGACGAGGCTTTTAGCAGCGCTGTTGGGACGAGGCTTTTAGCAGCGCTGTTGGGACGAGGCTTTTAGCAGCGCTGATCGGACGAGGCTTTTAGCAGCGCTGTTGAGACGAGGCTTTTAGCAGCGCTGTCGGTGAGGAGGGAGGCTTTTAGCAGCGCTGCAGGTGACGACGAGGCTTTTAGCCGCGTTTGTGCCAAGAGATCTAAGCTGGTACAGATTGATTTTTGTTTCCTATTAAAATTTTTTAAAGTCTGAAAACCTGAATATTAAAGGCTGTACAGGTTCTCTTTCAATTTTGTTAGCTCTTTGATTTTCAAAATTTCAGACGAAAAAAAGGGAATAAATTGGATTTTCCCTTTTAGATTTGGATTGTGTTGATGGAAGAGGAGGAGGAGGACACGAGAACACATCGGGGGAACAGGAAAAGACAGGAGGAGGAGGACACGAGAAGACAGGAGGAGGTGAGGAGGACACATGAGTGAGAGGACCTCCGGCAGCAGAGTGCTGGCTTCCTTTTTCGACATTAGAACAGATATTTCTTTAAGCCACGAGGAGATACTTCAAGTCTAAGAAGGACCGCTAGGTGCGTACAGATGATAAAGTTTGTAGCTCAGTGTCGTCTGAAGAAACGCGAGGCTTAGATTTATTTTAAGTCGGGTTCTTTTTATATGTTCTATTTCCATGCCATTGGAAGAGGCATTTTGTATAGTGCTTGAATTTTGTAATACGAGTACTATTATATGGGGGAGTCTAGGTGTAAATCCTTACTGTGTAGAGGGGGGTTGGGAGAAGTCCATGTAAGAGTGAGAGGGGAGAGATAGTTAAAAAATTAGTTTTACAAAAATGTCTAACCTCATATATCGTTTCAGAAACTGGAGAGGAGACTGAAGGCGTTTTAACAGGTAAAGGACAGCTGGACGAGTTTAAGAGACAATCGCAGGAGCACTGCAGAAAGACTTTATGTCCTCCGAGTCAAGCGACAGTGACACGGATAGGCCAGTATTCAAGGTGAGAAGACTGGCCTGGGAGTCCGGGAAACTGAAGAAGCGGAAGGACTCCCTGGTTCCAGCGAAGGGCACCCCTTTGTCTGGGGATATCTCAGAGAGAAAGCTTCCTGACGGGCCCAGAAGTGAAACATCAGTAAGCGGTATTCCACACCGGACACGGAAGTCGGGGGGGGGGGGGAAAGCCAGAACAGTAGTTTTATGGATCAGGCTTTGGGACTTTGTCTTTTTTTTAATCGTTTTTTGTTCCTTACATGTAGCTCTGTTCATGTAGTTCTGCCAGTTCATTTATTCAAAAATATCCGGAAATGATATCTGTAATTTATCTTGGATGCCTATCATTTATCAACGTACTTTGAGTCCGCCAGGAAATGAATTAAGAAGCAGAGTTTGAATAGTAGTTAGCGTAGTTTACCTCCATCAAAGTATTTTTAGTCATTTGTGTTTGGTTTTGTCATTGTTATCCTTGAACGAATAAAAGGAATGTTGACGGCATATATATTGTGTACGATTTGGGAATATTTAGGGTAGCATAGTTACAAGGTTTTATGTTATAACATAAATATATAACGCTTACTTTACTCTTTGTAAAGTATACATAATGACTCTTATTTAAGCAACCCTTAAGCACTTTAAAGTACGCTTAATACTGGTACACAACGAGTATTAAACGTAAAGTTTTTAAGGGTGGCTTAAATAAGTTCCATTACGCATTTTACGGACAAATTAAGCTGGCTTTAATCACTGCACTATAAGGCGCTTATGTGTAGTTAACATATGTAGTGTAAACATTAAGATTTACGCTGACTTTACTGTGCTTAGAAGTTGCTTAAACCTTTACGGACTAGTTAAGGAAGCTTAAATCACTACCTTTAAGGACACTTTAGGACGCTTAAATGTACCTTAAATATCAATATTCAAGCTTACTTTACAGTGCTTAAATGTTGCTTAAAAGAGAACCATGAAGCTCCATTACGGACAAACTTAAAGCTAGCTTAAAAGTAATATTTAAGCACTCGTAAAGATTTCTTTGCTTAAAGAGTGCCAAAACGGAACCTTATTAAATAGCCTATTTCGTGCAGTGATATAAGTATACAAATCCCTGGCGAGGTTCCATCCGCTGTATGATATCTACATATGTCTACATATCTTCATATGTGATGAAGATATCTACATCACTTCCCTGCCTTAACTCTTTAGATGTCGGGTTTAGTTGAAGGTGGCAGATTCACTGATGAGGTTAGTCAAGTGTACATGATGTTGTTAAGCATTCAAATACTGGATGGACGAACATTGAATAAATCATACGGGCAGTGCTACAAAAACTAACTCGTCTTGAGGTAGGGCTAGGGAGGCTTCCCAAATACTCTACTGCACAATTGATGTTTGCAGAAGCAAGGCGCCTCAGTCAGATTGATGTGGCCGTGGTTAGCAGATGTGAAGACATAACAGTAGGCACAGATGGAACAACCAAAAAGGACGACAAGGACGGCTCTGTTAGTTTCTTCACCAAGAAGGGCCAGTATGAATAAGCAGTTTGAGACTAACTGTCAGGTAACACTGATCAGCAGGTGGAAATGTTCCAAAAAGTAACCTCAGACATTACCTCTGCAGTTCTGCTAGTGCTGATGAACTACGGGTGTCTGAAGAACACACAATGAGCGCCACACATAGGAAATAAATGTCTCAACAAGAGACTAGATGAAATAAGAGCAAAAGCATTGCAGAAGGTGGTTCCATCTTGGGATGAAAAGACAGTTGTGGAGAGAGATAAGCTATGATCAGTGTTTTTGCAGTAAGCACTACATTGTTGGGCTAGCCACTGCTGCTGAAGCTTGTTTGAAGAAATTTCAGATGGACACGGTGAGATGGAGGTGCTAACTAACACAGTCTTTTGCTCACACAGGAGCATGTGAAAAGTCTGTCACCCAAAGTAATGTGAGGCATTCCTTTTACAAGAGGATCTGAAGAAGAATGGGTCCTTGCTGGCCAGGCTGCCTGCAGATTTGACAGATCTCTTTGAAGACTTCATCCAAATCAATGACTTAGAGAGGTGTTACAACGGACGGCAGCGTTCGGGTGAACGCGAGGACGACTATGACCACATATTGATTGGAGATACCAGTTCTCTCACGCGCTTCAGCGACGTGGCTGTTTGATACTAAAGTAAAGTACTAAAGTACTTCAGTTTAGGTAAGCGGAATTATTCCTGGAAGATCATCAGTGATAAAAACGCAACTTCAACACGTTTGACAAGGATATCCGCTATAACCGTATTTGTTTATTTTATGCCTGAAAATACTTGCCCAAAACGTTTGTTACAACTCTAGCATAAAGGTGCATGGAATCGAAACAAATAGTGGAACGGTGACTCAAAAAAGGCCTCAGATCAAATCACTGGTTTGGGTTGGGGACAGTGGTGACATGCACCAATGCCCCTGCAATGAAGGCCGCCCTGTCCCAGTATGGTAAAGTGATTTGATGAAATATCCGACATACTCCCATTCGACATGATTCAGGGGATAAGACAATACAGAATTGACCTTTGAAAACCTATCCCATATGGTCTAAAGGTGGGTGACAACATCATCTATAAGATATCCAGTCCAGGTAAAGTCATGTAATAAGTGCGGTGAACGGGACCACTTGTTCGCCAACTGTCCTTTGGACTAGTGTGGGTGATGTTTGCAGTTCGGGGATAAATCGCAGGATTTCCCCCAATGAGTTGGTGTGTACCATCTGTGTAGTAGAAGGCCATGTCTACAAAGAGTGCCCTATATCCCAGTAACACCTGGGCGTCGCGGCAAATGTCTAAAACATGATGAGGATTGTAAGGAGCGGGATGAGGAAATAACGTGTAGAGGATACAATGAACTGGTGTAATAAAGGAGTTTGCATGTAGTGTTCGCAGTAGTTATCTCTCACTGAATGTGTGTTATTAAAGTGTACCGGGTGTGAGGACGAAAACTTCCATAGCTGTGATGAGTATTACGACTCTAATCTTCCTACCTCAGACTGAACAGAGATCTAATCCTTCTATAGAGTTTTTTTTCTGTTTTAGACAACATGCTCAGGTATGAAAAATATATTGGCATTCATCTAACGAGGAACATACATGTATGACCAAACCACAAGATACTATTATATCTGTGAAGGTCCTGTTGAAGAGGAAAATATATGTTGATTTCTTTGAACTCCAGATAAGCGCTTTTCAGGCTAAGTGGACGAAGGGTTAAAAAGTGGTGAAATGTGAATGTGAAGAACAGCAATGTTATCTTCTGCAATATGGAATCTCTGCAATCAGAAATGTGGTCGAAGAAAGGGAGGCTCGCGTAAAACACAATTGCTGGTTTTTAAAGCACAAACGCTAACTATGGAGACAGAAGAAAAATAGCAGCATAGAAGGAGTCGAAAAGAGAGCACCCGTGGTAAAAGTGCAACCGTCAGCTAGGTTTGCTAGACCAAACAGCACACATTAATATGTTACATCAACTTTTAATGTTAAAGTCATCCCTTTCATTTCATTGGACTCTGACCACCGACTTTTTCCCAGAAAGCTAGAAAGAGCATAATACATTTAAAGAGCTAGAAAAAAATGTTCCTGGTATAGCTATATTTATTGAATAATATTCACTATCTCAAAACCAGACAGGTATAATAACTTGGCATACGAACTTTGAACACACCATCCAACAAGTTCAAAAGGGAACATTTTGGAGTTACCAAGATATGAAAAAAAGTATGAAACATCATGGTGGACAGAGACAACTGTAAAACCCCACAGCACTGATTCCAACCATTAACTGCAACTACGAACGACGGCATCTGGACTGGAATATAAATATAAGACAAACTAAAAACCAACCATAAGAGTAGATTAAAAAGAGAGCAATGGATAAGAATTGCCTTTAAGAAAGACTGCTGCAAGTGCGATAGGAAAATCTTGTATGACACGGCAATCTCCAGGACAAACAGTACATTGACATAAAACGTGGAAAGTTAGAGAACATAGTAAAAAAATAAAAAGGAAGACCCTCACAAAATCATTGATTTCACAAGCTGCAGTTTAAAAAAGAAACCATGCCCTAACCTATTGACATAAAACTAGACCAAACTGAATACAAACGCAAGTATTTTGGATCCCAAAATACAAAGTCAAGAGAGCTGCTTTCGTAACCTCCACATCCGACCATGTGGCAGGTAAACTGTGAGGGGAGATTCTACAGACGACCGAA